GGCTGCCCGCGAGGCGGCGACCCAGCGGTCCCCCGGTGCAGCCCGGGAGGCGGCGACCCAGCGGTCCCCCGAGGCTGCCCGGGAGGCGGCGACTCAGCGGTCCCCGGACGCTACCCAGGGCCCGGTTACCAGGTCATAAAAGCACTTGGGGCCCGGGAGCAGGAGCCAGGCAAGGATAAAGTGGAAGGCCTTACTGCTGCTCTATTCATCTAAGTCCTGCTTCCTCATGCAGAAGCTGGGGAAAGAATGGTGTGGGTAGTTATTGGTCCCCGCCCCCATGTTAAATGTTTGCAAACACTGATCTAAAGAGTTCTAATAAAGAATCGAAGTTCCCTAATAAATAATTGAATTTCTCTAGCGTCTACTAATTGGCAGGTAAAAGGGGAGGGAGAGGCCTTTCCTCCAGCAGCCAATATCTGCCCTAGGCTGCTCTCTACCTAGATGCAGGTGAGACCTCTTGGTTTTCTAGCCGCCCGAGGCAGCACTCTTCCCCGCCACCGGCTGGTGCTTCCCTCGTGCTCTTTAACCGCAAGAATCTGGTTTTGCCGGTTAAGAGGCTTCTCCAGCCCATCGAGTCCGTCCTCGATGGAAAACTTCTTAAAGCGTGTGGTGTTTCTACTCTAGTTAATGTGGGATGAGAAAACTTTGTTCCAACCCGATCCACGTGGCTGGATATATCGTGGCACCGGAAGCAGCCCCCGACTTCCCAGCTCGTCCACCTGACGGCGAGGAAGGGGAAAATTGGGAGAAGGAGCCAGGACTGTCCTGCTGTTGTCCTCAAGTCTTGCGGGGGTCATCCCGCCTTCAGCGAAGTTTGCTGCAAGTGAGACACCAGCAACGCTGGTAATTCTTCCCTCAGTAACCGCAGCAGCGGGGAGTCCTGGCGCGGGATGATGGCTAGTCCTCTTTGCCACTTTTTTTCTTTTTAACTGAAATATATTTGATATAGAACATTGCGTAAATTTAAGCTGTACATGTTAATTTGATATATTTACATATTATAATGATTGCCTTTGTAGTGATAATTAGCACCTCTATCATTTTGGCTTCCTGCTCTACTCCTGGCAGCTGGGACTCCAGTGCCAGGCTCGCAGAAGGAAGCAAACTGTTAACAGCTGGGTGCTAGGATAAAGAACCAACATGCAGCCATCTTTGGTTATGAGTATTTTCATTTAAAAAGTTCAAGGAAACTGGGGCACCCAGGTGGTTCAGTTGGGTAAGGTATGCCTTAGGCTGAGGTCATGATCTCCAGGTCCTTGGATCAAGCCCCCACCTCCAGCTCCCTGCCTAGCAGGGGGTGTGGGGGTGATCTGCTTCTCCTTCTCCCTCTTGCTCTCTCTCAAATAAATAAAATCTTTTTTAAAAAATTCAAGGAAATCTAAAGATCAAGGGAATGGAGTATATCATATACCCTTTAATCACCACTAATAGATGACCATCCAATTTTAAATAAGCACTTATAAATTCCGCTTTGCATTTTATTTCTAACAGTTTATTAACTTTTTAGAAGAACCAAAGAAAAGCCTAGGTAGAGTGAACTTCAAACATTTAAGACTCAAAAACAATGCAGACTCAGTTTCAGTTGAAGTCACATCAGAGTAGAACGAAGACTCGATGTTGACTTTCCCCCTCTAAGTAGTACCCATAGGACCACAACGTCAATTTTCTCCTTTACAAGAAAGATTACTGGCAGCAGATACAAGCCATAGGAGTCTATGACTATTCTGAAACTGAGACAAAAATATCCTATACGTACACACAGAGACTTGTCTGAGATGATTTTGTGAAAGAAGAAAATGGTAAGATGGAGATTAGAACCAAGAAAAGAAGGGAGGTTGAACTTGAAATAAAAGCATTTAGGTGTGATGACACTTATGTAAAATTCTCTATGCATATCGGGGCGCCTGGGTGGCTCATTCGTTAAATGTCTGCCTTCGGCTCAGGTCATGATCCCAGGGTTCTGGGATGGAGCCCCACATCGGGCTCCCTGCTCTGCGGGAAGTCTGCTTCTCCCTCTCCCAGTCCCCCTGCTTGTGTTCCCTCTCTCGCTGTGTCTCTCTGTCAAATAAATAAAACCTTTAAAAAAAAATTCTCTCTGCATATCAAGTGTTGGATTTTTTAAAAATCTATTATTTAATCCAGAAGGGCAATATCAGAGTAAATAAAGAACAAATGTTCAATTAAAAAAAGGAAGGGGGCGCCTGGGTGGCTCAGTCGTTAAGCGTCTGCCTTCGGCTCAGGTCATGATCCCGGGGTCCTGGGATTGAGCCCCGCATCGGGCTCCCTGCTCTGCAGGGAAGCCTGTTTCTCCCTCTCCCACTCCCCCTGCTTGTGTTCCCTCTCTCGCTGTGTCTCTCTTTGTCAAATAAATAAAACCTTTAAAAAAAAAAAAAGAAAGAAACCTATTAGACTCCTCTCAAAGCAGGGCATGAAGCAGTGCCACCTGAGTTTTCACCCAGTTTAAGGTTCCCAGAGCTCCCTATCTGCTCTTTTCAAGCTATTCTCTTACAGGAAAACACTTTTAACAGTTTAGTACTTTTACATAACTGCACATACTTTTTTTTTCTTTCAGCAACTTGATTTTCCTCAGTAAGTGTACACTTTAACCCCTTCCTTGCTACTGGTTGATTAGTTTCCCAAATTTCTCAATTACAAACTGCTGCACTGACTTTCTACTTGTGTCTTCATGTCTATGTTGAAATTTTTTTTAAGATTTTATTTATTTGAGGGGCGCCTGGGTGGCTCAGATGGTTAAGCGTCTGCCTTTGGCTCAGGTCATGATCCCAGGGTCCTGGAATCGAGTCCCGCATCGGGCTCCCTGCTCCTTGGGAGCCTGCTTCTCTCTCTCTCTCTCTCTCTCATGAATAAATAAATAAAATCTTTAAAAAAAAAAGATTTTATTTATTTTATAGAGACAGTGAGTGAGAGCACGAGTGGGAGTGGGGGGAGAGTGGAGGCAGAAGGAGAGAAGAAGCAGACTCCGGGCCCCACATGAGGCTTGATCCCAGTACCCTGAGATCACGACCTGGGATGAAGGCACTTAACCAACTGAGTCACCTAGGCGCCCTTATGTTGGAATATTCCTACAGAAATCTTTGTAGAAATAGAATTGCTGGGTTAAAGAATGAGCACCTTTAAAATTGAGATCATTCACTTGATCTCAGCTCAGGTGTTGATCTTGATCTTATTTATTTATAAATAAAATTAAATTGTTATATTGCCAAACTGCCCTACAAAATGACCGTACCGATTTATTTTCCCACTACAAGCTATGAAGTTATTTTCACTATATTTACCCAAATTTAATGTTACCAATCTATTTTATGTACACGTGTCACTTTTCTATTTTTTTCAATACCTATCCCACTGTTTTAACTATGTAACTTTATGGAATTTTTTTTTTTTTAAAGATTTTATTTTTTATTTATTTATTTGAGAGAGAGAGAATGAAAGACAGAGAGCACGAGAGGGAAGAGGGCAGAGGGAGAAGCAGACCCCCTGCTCAGCAGGGAGCCCAATGTGGGACTCGATCCCAGGACTCCAGGATCATGACCTGAGCCGAAGGCAGTCGCTTAACCAACTGAGCCACCCAGGCGCCCCACTTTATAGAATGTTTTAATATTTGAAAGGACAAGCTTACTCTCATTGTTCAATTTACAGTCTTGGTCATTTGTTTTTCAGATGAAGCAACTTATTTATTTTTTAATTTTAGTCAATATATAGTGCAATGTTGGTTTCAGAATTCAGTGATTCGTTACTTACATAAAACATCCAGTGATCATCCCAGCAAGTGCCCTCCTTAATACCCATCACCCATCTAGCCCATCCCCCATCCCACCACCTCCCTCCCAACCCTCAACCCTCAGTTTGTTCTCTATCATTAAGAGTCTCTTATGGTTTGTTTCCCTCTCTCTCTCTCTTTTTCCTTCCCCCCCCTTCTCATATGTTTATCAGTTTTGTTTCTTAAATTCCACATGTGAGTGAGATCATATGGTATTTGTGTTTCTCTGACTGACGTAGTCTGTTTAGCATAACACACTCTAGCTTCATCGATGTTGCAAATGGCAAGATTTCAGTCTGATGGCTGGGTAATAGTCCATTCTGTATATATACCACATCTTCTTTATCCATTCATCTGTCAGTGGACATTTGGGCTCTCTCCATAGTTTGGCTGTTGTTGATAATGTTGCTATAAACATTGGGGTGCATGTAGCCCTTCAAATCTGTATTTTTGTATCCTTTGGGTAAATACCTAGTAGTGCAATTGCAGGATCATAGGTAGTTCTATTTTTAACTTTTTGAGGAAACTCCATACTGTTTTCCAGAGTGGCTGCACCAGCTTGCATTCCCACCAACAGTGCAAGAGGGTTCCCCTTTTTCTACATCCTCACCAATACCTGTTGTTTCTTGTGTTGTTAATTTTAGCCATTCTGACACATGTGAGGTGATATCTCATTGTAGATTTTATTTGCATTTTCCTGATGATGAGTGATGTTAAGCATCTTTTCATGTGTCTGTTGGCTATTTGTATGTATGTCTTCTTTGGAGAAATGTCTGTTCATGTCTTCTGCCCATTTCTTGACTGGATTATTTGTTTTTGGGGTACTGAGTTTGAGAAGTTCTTTACAGATTTTGGATACAAACCCTTTATCAGAAATGTCATTTGCAAATACCTTCTCCCATTCCGTAGGCTGCCTTTTAGTTTTGTTGACTGTTTCCTTCTCTGTGAAGCTTTTTATCTTGATGAAGTTCCAACAGTTCATTTTTGCTTTTATCTCCCTTGCCTTGGGCGACGTGTCTAGTAAGAAGTTGCTATGGCCAAGGTCAAAGAGGTTGCTCCCTGTATTCTCCTCTGGGATTTTGATGGTTTCCTGTCTCACATTTAGGTCTTTCATTCGTTTCAAATTTATTTTTGTGTATGGTGTAAGAACGTGGTCCAGTTTCATCCGCATGTTGCTGTCCAGTTTTCCCTACACCATCTGTTGACGAGACTGTTTTTTTGCCATTGGATATTCTTTCCTGAAGATGAAGCAACTTACTAATAAACATAGAAAACTGGTTGAGGGAAAAGGCGTATACTTCCAAAATATTGGGTTTGTTCTATTAAGGTACACTGGAGTGCTCATTTCTTTCTTTAAA